CGATCTGAGATTCGGCTTCCTCGAGTTGATGCTGCAAGTCAGCGGCTTCCTGAGCGGCGCGAGCCTTCTGCGAGCCCAGATCTGCTCCGCTGCGGTTCGCCTCGTCCAGCTTGGCGGACATTTCGGAGACTTGACTTTCCAGGGTCTTGATGTTCTTTTCTGAGTTCATCTAAATGTGAGAGGGAGAGGGGGGGCTCAGTTCAGTTAAGTTTTATTAGGGCAAACGCCCGATGCACTACCTGTTGGTTGAAATAAAGTTGCAAAAGACAAATGCCGATATATCAATAACTTTGGAAATAAGATTGCATATAGAATTCCAGGCAACAAGCATTTAAACATCTGGTAAGGCCGAATGCGAATACGTGTAGGCGTGGTCTGAATAAAATAGTGCACGGACAACACGTATTACTGAAATGATTTAAGTAGCAGGGTAATAATCACATAAATTTCGACCAGAATACATTGGAGCACGCATCGTCACCTTACGAGGTATTTACTAAAATTACCATAATTTCATCCAAAATTAAACAAGACATGATGAAATCTGAACTTCCCGCACGGGAAACGCCCAGTGGATCCATCATGCTGGATCGAATACCCATCCGCCCCTCGCAGCTGCGCTATACAGCTGGACAAAATCATGGAAGCAGACGTGTTTGGATTTTTACCTATTACCTACGCGCCCAGTATTGTAAAAAATAACCTATATAAATAAGAAAGACAGGGTCTGTGGCCCGACGGTTAGATAAAACACCGAAAACGCACCTTCAGCTTAGATAACTGAGCCACTTGTCCCTGAAGATCGTCCACTTCCGACTTATAGTCGTTCCTCTCCTTCTCCACTCTACAACGGAAGGGGGATAGGTACCAGTAAAACATGGAGGTGTGGAGGGGAAACTGCAGACTCTTGAATGGTTTTAATCAACTTACTTAGCCCGGGCTTTCTGGGCTTGGTCGAGTTGGTCGGTGAGTTCGCTGACAGCGTCGTTCTGTTTTTTACGCATCATGGTCACTGTCTGCTCGTTCTGCATGCGGGCTTCCTCAAGGTCACGTTTAAGCTTCATGAGTTCTGCCTCACGCTTCTTGTTGAGGTCCATTTGGGCGGCAGTTGCTCCACCCTGCTCCTCCAGACGGTCGCTGACCTCGTCCAATTCGGCCTCGAGCTAGAGTAAAAAGGCAGTCAGATTCTAGCATATTGGGCTGATGTCCATAAAATTTCTACTTACTATATTTAAGCAGACGTTATTTACTAGTTGTGTTTGGCAATAGGTCGTGAAACGGTTGCAGACTTCGGCTAAGGGCAAGCAAGTAAGTAAAGGGGGTAAAGAGCCCGCGCGTCATCTCTTACCTGTTGCTTAGCCTTCTCAGCCTTGCTTCGGGCTGCTCTCTCAGCCTCAAGGTCTTCCTCGAGTTCAGCGACACGGGTCTGCAGCTCCTTGATTTTCCGTTGCAGTTGCGCAATCATGCCCTGATCCTCTTCACTCTTGCTACCCATGTTGGAGAGTTCACCCTCCTTGCGGCGGAGCTGTTCTTCCAGCTCTCGTTTCACGCGTTCCAGGTCGTCGACTGCTTCCTGCGTGGCCTTCAGATCACCCTCAACCTTTCGTTTTGACTTCTCGACGTCTGCGCGAAGCTTCTGTTCACGGGCAAGGTTCTCCTCCATCTACAGAGGCGCATAGAGAAAAAGGGTTGGGTTTTGCACTGTAAAAACAAAAATGTTTGAAACGCAGACACATTTAAACATATAATGTTTTTTCAGCATTGCTACCTAAATCAACTTCAGTAGGCGTGTTTGTGTTCATGAACAAATTACTGCGTGGCTTGTTTTGGCAGCTTGTTTCAGACACTGGGCTACGGAATTGGGGTTCTTTCTTCCCTCATGTGGTGAGACATATAGAAAGGGGGGCATTTACGTTCTTGACTTAGCACAAAAATTTTTCTAGGTTAAGTCCTTTTATAGATTAAAAACCCAAGAATAAAACAGTTAGCTAACCTCATCGAGGGTCTGTTCAAGTTTGGCCTTGAGTTTGTTCAGGTGGTTGACCTTGTCCTCTTCGGCCTGGAGGGCTTCCGTCGTGCGCTTGTTCTGCTCATCAAGGGCCTTCTTCTCCTTGTTAAGGCGACCGATCTGTTCCTCCTGCTGTTGCATCTCGCCCTGCAGGGTTCGGATCTGGTTGTCTTTGGTCTGTTTCTCCTGCTCGGCCTTCTGCAGGGAGGATTCGAGGTCCTCGACATCCTTCTTCAGCTCATCGATTTCGGCAGCAAGCTTCTTCTTGCTCTCTTCAAGACCATTGACATTGTCCTCCTCATCGGCCAGACGGTCCTCCAACTCCTTAATCTGAGTCTCCATATCGGCCTTCTGCAGAATCAGCTTAGAGCACTTCTCCTCCGCATCGGCAAGGCTGTCTTGTTCGGTCTGGAGTTGCAGGAAGATGTCGTTCTTCTGCTCCAGCAGGGTGACATTCTGCTCTTCCAACTCCTTTTTCAGCTTCTCCAGCTTCTCGAACTCTTCCTTCAGTTTGGCCAACTCTTCAGCCGCCTTCTTCATCTCCTCTTCCTGGCGGGCAATGTTCAGCATAGGCTTGACTTTGGTGTAGAGACGCCACCATGGCCAGGTACGAAGGATGAGGTACTTACGAATGTTGCGTTGCATCAACGACAGGGCTGTGCTATAAACCAGAGAGAGAGAGAAATGTCAGCCGACCAATCAGACACGATTTCCAGAGCAGGTGGCTTTGCGCAAAAACAAGCAAGCAGCAGTAACGCACCGTTGATCTTGCAGCTTCTTGTAGGCCTGACGCATGAGATAACCCCGGATCTGGGCCTGGAAGTTGGAGATGATCACACCGAGCTTCTCATCACGCATATCTTCCAGTTCTGCCAGAACACCCGCCTTGAAGAAGACCTTGGTGTTACCGCACTGATAGGTCTCCTTATTCAGTTGACAAGCCTCGAGGATCTTCTCGGTGACTTGTTTTCCTTCCACGAAGCCAGCAGGAATTACATTCGGAGCCAGAATGGAGTATCTAAAGTACGCCACAAGAATACAACGGGGTTAAGGGGTACAGCAGGTCAGCGCAGAAAGACCGGTTAGCCAGCATAAAACATTGTCAGTTCTCACCGTTGTTTGAATTCCGAGTAGACCATCCTATTGGGGAAACCTTTTCGGCAGATACGAATGCCTTCCAGCACACCGTTACAGTGAAGCTGATGTAGAACCAAGTGAGCATCAACGACACCTTAAGAGAACCAGAGAATAAGCAGTAAGTATCCGCAAGGGCTTAGAAGTGTAAAGTTTTGCACTTGGCGGCAGCCTTAAATAAACTCTGATAGTGAAGGTGCAAATAATTGTTATAGGTTGTTTTAGTCTACAAAAATCCATAAAAATTTTCATGAAATATGAATGGTTAGGCAGGTGAGACTTTTGCGAAATAGCAGCGTGCAACACGTTCACTGCATTTCCACCATGTAATGTTCACCCAAACAAACTTTAGTGTAACTAAAAGATCTACTGAAA